CAGTTATTACCTATTAAAAGCTGTAATAGTCAATAGATCTGTAATATTTCTGTTCAAAATGAAGTGTGCTATTTGGGCATTATTATTTGTAAAGACCAAAAAAACAGTAGCTAAAAATTTTACTCCAATGATCAAAAAAACACAAACCAAACTAAATCAATGGTTGCAAAGAGATTTAACCCTAAAAGGTAGAGTCTTTCTCTTGAAAGCAGAAGGTCTTTCTCGACTCACGTCTGCAGCTCTTTCTGTTCATGTGGATGATAAAACTTGTAAGGATGTTGACCGATTACTCTTTGATTTCATTTGGAAAAACCAAACTCACTATGTAAGGAAAAGTGTTGTAATGAATGATTATGAACATGGTGGGCTTAATGTCTTAGATTTCACTACTCTAAACAATACATTTAAAATTAAATGGGCTAAACACTTTAACAAAAATCCATTTTCTATTTGGAGCTTCATACCTCATTTTGTATTCTCTAAATTTGGTGGCTTAAATTTTATTCTATCCTGCAACTACAATGTAAACAAACTTCCAGAAACATTATTATTATTTCACAAACAAGTATTATTAGCATGGTCCCTAATTTATAAGCATAACTTTTCCCCTCAAATGTATAATTTGGAATAATGGAGACATCACTCATAAAAATAAGTCATTATTCTTTTCTAAATGGGTTGAGAAACAGATAATTTTGGTGAGTCAACTGTTCAACAGTAATGTGCAGCTTATGTCATATATTGAAGTCTTAAACACTTATAAATTCCCAGCTACACCTACAGAACATGCAACACTTGTGAAGGCTGTACCTTCAGGCGTGAAAATTTTATTTCAAAGTGTTGAATCAAACTCACGGCCTGTTTCTTTTCCCAAACGGAAATGGGAAAGTTATGCCTAATGTCTCGCAAAAAGAGTAATAGAAATTTACGTAGATTGTTTCCCAATACCCTTACGACTCTTCCATATGTTGTTTTTTATTGGAGTAATTTTGTGGGGGACCTCAATTGGAGAATAATTTGAACAATTCCAAACACATTTTGTATAACTAATAAAGGTAAAGGAAGTTTCATTTAAAATTATTCATAAATATTACCCAGGAAATCACTATTTGACAAAATTTAAGGGTGTATTCAGACCTGAAAAGTCCTTTGCTCCGCTTGCTTAATCCGAATCAAAAGCGGATCAAACTTTTTTCTTTTGCTCTGGTTCGTATTCAGACTGTCCTTTTTGCAAGTGAACTTTTTTATATAAACATATTGACACGTGTGACGATCGGCTCCTATTGGACAGAGAGAGGTGCAGGTCTGGTTACACCCCGAGACATTGATGTGAAATGTAGCTTTTGTGAAAACCACCCGGAGACTGTTCAGCACATGTCTTGGATCTGCTCTCACACCACTTCATTCTGGAAGGACCAGTAGATTCATCATTGACCATATTTATAAAGACTTTTCTTTAAAATGGGAAAATGTGATCTTTTGTTTTTTTTAGAAGGCATAAAAAGGATGTTTGTTTCATTATAAATTTATTGATTATACAGGCCAAATATTTCATTCATAAATGTAAATATAGCAAGCAGAAGCCTGCCTTTAGACATTTCTACAATGATTTTTTGTTGTATATCAAATTGATAAGTGGCATAACAGAACAAAAAAGCTGTAAGGACTATTGACATTTGTACTGTGTACAATGTATTTGACTGTATATGATTATTTGTATTTATTTTTTTCGCTTTAACCCTCTGGCTATCTGATTGTCAATTTGTATGCATGTTGTATACCTGCACTTTTGAAGAAAATTCATAAAAAAAAAAAAAAGACAAGGCCAATGGCTTTTAAAGCTTGCACACTACCGCCCCCTTGTGGCCCCGTACTGCCACATAAATAAAATTTGATTGAGAACCTGACCCACTTTTAGTCAGGTCCAAAATCTTCCTATACTTCATGAATGTGGTTATTTTCTGTCCTGACAGAGTGGGATTATTTGAGCTGTCGATCTGCTCTCAGTGTGGATCCGAATTGGACTTAAATATAATGTTTATCTGGAGCACAAGGACTCCAACGGTAACCCCACTGAACAAAACAGAGGAATACAGGAATCTGCGACGCTGCATCTCAGTACATGCTGACTCCCATGTGTGCAGCCAGTTTTCCAGTCGAGGAATAAATCAATTTATTCAATAAACACGGTGCCATTTATCAGGCTTCATGTCACATTAGTAGTCCTCGTACGAATCACATCGTCAGCAAATAAATTAAATAAATGACACTGAACTTCCCATCATGCTCAACACCCCCACTCAGGCTCATGTTTACCAAATACAAAAGCAAAAATATTTTTTTTATTATAAGATTTGAATATGTTAAACTTGACCTTTGTTAACGGCTTGGTCAGCACGTCTGCCTCCATGTGCTCTGTTGCACACTACTCACACTTTTACCATCAATGTGTGCAGACCTTACAAAATCATTGCAATCCACATGCCTACTACATTGTCTACACTCTGGGTTCATGGAGAGAGAAACAACCCTGACCCTAATTGTCTTCGAAAATCTCAACTGCTGTGTGCGGCCTCTCATATGCATCCCACAGAGAAGCTGTATGAGAGACATGCTCTCTTGAACAGTAGCTGCCAGAGCTATGTACTCAGCCTCACACGTCGACAGAGCTACAGTAGGCTGTCTCTGTGGTCAAAGCTTCCAGTACTCCCCCCGTAGGTCGGGTCTAACGCCCGGACTGACACCCGATTAGCATCGGTATAGCCTTCGAGGCTAAGGGCTGGGTCTCTTTGTCTTAACACAGGTCATGGTCTATTGTAAACAACAAACCATTTATTTCACAGGGAATAAATTCATTAACTTTGCCAATGGAAGAAGAATTTCATGCTACATTGTCAAACTCTCTCTCTGGTCTTTCTCTGTCACTTACAGCACCAAAAAACCCAACATTTTTCATAAGGTTTTGTTTATTTTCAGTAGAAAGTGGCAGAGGACGTATTTACATTTACATTTACAGAAACAAGAGCTGCGTCTACAACACTCCGACCGGAAACAGAAACTTCAGAAACTAGAACTGATCATATTTACAGAACAAAAACTACTGCAACTGTAGCTTCAACAGATAAATAACAAAATACATTTAACAATAAAAAACTAAAAGTGATTCTTTAACAGTGCTCAGGGTCTGATCCAGGACCTGCGGACGAGAAAAGCACTCCGTCAATTGTTTTTCAGTTCAAAAATATATTCTGTGTCCTGTTTTGTCCAATGTTGAATGTTGCTCAGGCATAAAGTGTGTATTAAGAGTGGACTGACAGTGTGACATCACCCTAGTGTTAGCCTTAATGCAGAAGAGGCATATGCTTCCTTCCTCCTCCGTCGAGCAAAGACGTGTCTTAGTCCGCTCCTGCTTCTGAACGGCTTGCTATCTCCTGTTTTTGTCTTTTTTCCTGGAGCTTTGCCACAGACAACTTTAACAGAATGGAAATGATTAATTGGTCCCTCAACGCAATTGATTCTATCTTTTCAACACGTAAGCGTGGGTCTGGAGAGCCCGTGTGTCCGGACGGGACTTCACCAGCGGGGTATACTCTTGACAGCTGGAACAAGTGGCAGCCCCTCTGTCTGTCGACCCTGTCCATTGAAGATTCGGAAGACGTATATATCTTTGGCATTTTGGTGGTGGGAATCCTCCTGTTTGGGTTTGGAGCGATCCTCTTCTACCACAAATTCGGAGGCATGGCAGTTCGCAAGATTCACGACCTGCTGGCCGATAAAATTGATGGGATGTACAAGGAGCTTAGCCGTGTCGTGGTTGAGAGTGCCGTGTCTGGACAAAGAAGGGTGGTTTTGGTGGAACAGTTGATCAAAGACCTCGCAGCTCGTTCACTTGATGGACATAAGACTTTGGAATTGAGATTGAATGACATTGTTTGTCAGGCTTGATCTCTCTGACCCGGCTTGGATTTGCCCCTGTGTACGGGGTCTGAGGGCGCCGCAATTCGGTTTAATTGGAATTAATAGAATATCTGCCTGCTTTTGACTGCGACATTGCAGGCGATGTGTTTTTCTCCTCCTGTGGCTTCTCTCCACTCTTATCTCACATTCCTCAGCCAAGGCCATAAACAAGGTCCCACAATCTACAACAACTCACACTACTTCAGTCTTCAGCAAGGATCCCCCACCCCCGCCTCCCTCTACCTATCCATCTTGCTCCCTCCCTCCCCTCCATTCCTTATTGTTTTCCTACTCACCCCCTCCCTGATCCCGCCCCCCTCTGACAGCTACATTGGGCCGGCCGAAGAGGTGCTCTTCCCGAGAAAAAAATCCGTGGTTTATAAAAAGCACAATGTGTCTATCCAATTGTCTGTGAACTGTATGTTATTGCTCTCTGCTGTTTCTTGCTGCACACAGCGCCGCAAATGGCGAAGTGGCACGCTCTCTGCCAAAACAATTTCCAAGTGATAACTTTGTTACTCACGTGGCAATAAAAATGATTCTGATTCTGATTCTGATTCTGATTTGAACATAAGGTTGCTAGATTCGTCATCTTCCTCATTTGGGTAATTCTTAGAATGGGGTTAGCTTTGCAAATGTGTTACTAAGGTGGTTTCTGAAGCCCAATAGGGAAGTCCCAATGGACGAAACTTTGTTCCAAATCTCTGACTTAAAACCATTTGGAGCTCAAGAAACGCCCTCTGTGATCCAGGTGTTTATATTGTGATATTGTCTTTGTAAATCCATATATGAGCCATATAAGGGTTGATCTATCCAGGTTTTCCCCTGCGGTTGTCTCCGCTCTCTATCCCGTCTCCGCTCTCTCTAATCTCTCCTCGCTCGTCTCCGCCCTCTCTAGTCTCCGCTCTCTCTAGTCTGCACTGTTTCACTCTGAACCCGTCTCTGCAAACAGACTAGATCATCAGGATGGAGAAATGGAGTCGTTCTGCCACACCTGCCTGTGTTGCTCAGTGTTTGTGGATGTTACATGTCTTACCGGCTCATCACACTGTGGTCGCTGGACTGATGACTGGACCTGCGTTCTGCCAAAAGACCGACAAAAAAACTCTTCAAAACTACAATATTTAAAGCTGTGATACCTGATTCCTCCCGCCCCATAGATAACAAATGTCTAGTGGTTTGTCCCACAGAAAGAGTCTTGTAAAAGAAATAATCAGACCACAGACTGCTGCCTTCATCAGGAAACATGTAAGAAAGACCATGTGACTCACTGATCTGAACCAGACTGTTTAAGACCCAGCAAATAGTGACTTGGTCTCTCCCGCTCTCTCTCTGGTCCCACTCCCGCTCGCTCTCTGGTCCCTCTGGTCCTTCCCTCTCTGGTTTCTAATTAAACCCTTACTTGAATGTGACAGAAGTTAACTTACAGCTGAAATGTAGGGGCTGAGGTGTTTGCTGGGAGGAGGAGGGTGAGATGAGGAGGAAGAGGAGGTCTGGCTCGGGTTGGGCTCCTCCTGCAGCGCCTCCTGCAGGTGAGCAGAGACACAGCCGCTGTCCGAGCCTGTGGATCCGGAGAGGCAGCGCGACGACGACCCGGAACTCTCTGTGGCTGAAGGGGACACAGCAGTGAGTCGTCTTTAGTTATATAGCGCATTTCACAGATCCAGGTCACATCCAGCTTCACAAAGTTATGAAGACCACAAAAGTACTGGAGCTGACTAAGTTTACGCTTCCAAATTGAAAAGCCGTCCAATTGACTGCTCTGGGAGGTAAGGTGTTAAATCGTGCTAACTGAGGCCATTTCTTTCTTCAGTGATTTCAATATGAGAAAATTGCTTTTTAAAAGTGATCAGAGGTTTCTGGCTCCTGAGGTGGACGTGTGGAGAGTGGAGCTCACTCATGGAAGGCTGGCTGCTGGTCTCGTGCTCCTGCTCGTCTTCTTCAATGCAGTTTATGAAGGATCCCTCCGTGGATCCAGCAGGGGGCAGTGTTCGACTGTGACAGAAACAAAGTCCATTAGACATTTGGCTTCAGACAGGACAGTTCATGTCAGACTCTTCAGTCCTGGATCTACAGCCTCAGTCCTTAAAATGTAATTCTGAACAGTGATTATCCTCCTCCCTATTGGACCAATGGCATCTATGCATTTGTTATTATTGCATTTCCTGTTCTTAACCATAACCGTTTGATTCTCTAATCTGTTGTTGGTGAATTCACAACACTGTTAAGTCCTCAGAGACAACGGCTGCTGTGATTTAAGATGATAAACAAATATGAGTTGGAAAACAGCTCTGAGAGACAGACACAGGTTTGTCATGTTGCCAAGAAATCACACTTAACTTTACAACAACAAATTCAAGTTTAAAAGAAAGAAAAGGCAACTTACAGTTAAACTTTCAAAATGAAATAGTTATGTTTATGGTTCTAAACCTGACAACCACAGGGGTGTGGTACCTGAACACGTGGAGGTTGAGGGGTCCCAGGAGGCTGGAGGAGGAGCCCGCTGCAGCAGAGGGGTCAGCGGTACCAGATCTCTTGAAGGGGCTGGAGTGGTCGAACACGGACACGGCTATCGATGCTCTGGTCCGGGCGCCTAAAGAACAGCGTCAAATCAGCGTCAGAGCCACAGAAACAAACACCATGCTTTTTATTCTGGTCCTGTGCCCTTAATTCTGGTCCTGAGCCCTTCATTCTGGTCCTGTGCCCTTCATTCTGGTCCTGTGCCCTTCATTCTGGTCCTGTGCCCTTCATTCTGGTCCTGTGCCCTTCATTCTGGTCCTGTGCCCTTCATTCTGGTCCTGTGCCCTTCATTCTGGTCCTGTGCCCTTCATTCTGGTCCTGAGCCCTTCATTCTGGTCCTGTGCCCTTCATTCTGGTCCTGTGCCCTTCATTCTGGTCCTGTGCCCTTCATTCTGGTCCTGTGCCCTTCATTCTGGTCCTGTGCCCTTCATTCTGGTCCTGTGCCCTTCATTCTGGTCCTGTGCCCTTCAATCTGGTCCTGTGCCCTTCAATCTGGTCCTGTGCCCTTCAATCTGGTCCTGAGCCCTTCAATCTGATCCTGAGCCCTTCATTCTGGTCATGTGCCCTTCATTCTGGTCCTGTGCCCTTCATTCTGGTCCTGTGCCCTTCATTCTGGTCCTGTGCCCTTCATTCTGGTCCTGTGCCCTTCATTCTGGTCCTGTGCCCTTCATTCTGGTCCTGTGCCCTTCATTCTGGTCCTGTGCCCTTCATTCTGGTCCTGTGCCCTTCAATCTGGTCCTGTGCCCTTCAATCTGGTCCTGAGCCCTTCATTCTGGTCCTGTGCCCTTCATTCTGGTCCTGAGCCCTTCATTCTGGTCCTGTGACCTTCATTCTGGTCCTGTGACCTTCATTCTGGTCCTGTGCCCTTCATTCTGGTCCTGTGACCTTCATTCTGGTCCTGTGACCTTCATTCTGGTCCTGTGACCTTCATTCTGGTCCGGTGCCCTTCATTCTGGTCCTGTGTAATCCTGAGATGACACACCTCTGCTCTTCATGATGTAGTGCACGGCGCGGTCGCTGATGGCTGCGTCGCTCGGCTTAATGTCCAGAAACGGTTTGTTGCCGACGCCCATCGACACCATCTCCTTCAGACGAATCTCTGCAAAAATAACCGCAAAACTGGTTCTTAGACTGCGGCCGTTTCCTTGGGCAATACACTTCACCCGCCTTGCCCCCCTGTGTCTGTGTGTGTGTCTGTGTGTGTGTGGACCCAACATACATCAAAAAAAGGAATAAAACACATTGTGTAAGAATCTTTAGTATCTGGTACCATGTCCTAGAAACCAACCCACAACAAACCAGTACCATGGCTTCCAGCAGCACTCTAAAACTTGAGTACCAGCTCGGCCTGGATAGAACCTGGCCAAGAGGGACTAAAGAGGGACTAAAGATGGACTGAAGAGGGACTGAAGAAGGACTAAAGAAGGACTAAAGAAGGACTAAAGAAGGACTAAAGAAGGACTAAAGAAGGACTAAAGAAGGACTAAAGAAGGACTAAAGAGGGCCGAGCAGAGCAGAGCAGAGCAGAGCAGGTGGCCTCTAACCACTACATAAATCCTGTACCTTTGTTGCGTGTGGCCTGGTTCCAGAGCAGTCGTGCCACGTCGCTGGTCCAGTTGTGTTTGACTTCTGCTGTCGCCGCCTGCAGCAGAAACGTCTGGTTCTTGGCGGTCCTGCGGCGGAACCAGATTTCGAACCGCAGTCCGTCGTCCCCGGTGGACTCAGTCAGACCCACGTCCGCTGTCTGGAAAGCAGTTTAGAAACATCAGATGGGCCCAGAGACAGAGCATTCTCTGTAATCTCTCTCCGGTCTCCGTCTCTCTCTGTCTGGTCTCTCTCTCTGTCTCTGTCTGGTCTCTCTGTCTGGTCTCTCTCTTTGTCTGGTCTCTCTCTCTGTCTGGTCTCTCTCGTGTCTATACATCACCTTGAAAGAGTGTTTGTAGATGAATACGTCCAGGCCGCCCTCCATGCGTTTGGGTTTACTGAACAGAACCAGGTCCTCGAACAGAAACACGTGACGCTGACTTTTCCTCCTGCCGCTCCAGACCGTGAACTCATCCTGACGAATCAGCTGACCCTGCTCCTTCAGATTCACCTGCACACCAGACACAGAGAGAGTGAGTGTGAGACAAAGACACACAGAGGGAGAGGGTTAGAGAGAGGGAGAGAAAGAGACACACTCATACATACAAGACCTGACATTGCTTCCTAGTCATTTCACTACATGTTATTGACTGTACTGTAAACATTGTATATGACAAATTAGGCCTCTCTCTCTGGCCTCTCTCTCTGGCCTCTCTCTCTGGCCTCTCTCTCTGGCCTCTCTCTCTGGCCTCTCTCTCTGGCCTCTCTCTCTGGCCTCTCTCTCTGGCCTCTCTCTCTGGCCTCTCTCTGACACATACAGATGTTGAGTTTGTTTTTGGTTTGTTTGGGGATCTATGCATTAAAACATGGAAATAGTCTCCAACACAATTCTTCAGTCCACACAACAGTCCACACAATAGTCACACGTCCTGATGTCTCGCCCTTACGTCACAGTCCCGGATGGCGTCCATGGCCAGCAGGTCGTTGCCGTGGCGCAGCTGGAACTTCACCATGTCCGTGGCAGCGTGCAGCGTGGCGAGCTCCGCCTCCTGAGACTGAGACACGCCCACCTCCTTGATGAGGTCGGACAGCAGCAGCGCGTACTTGCTCATCCGCTGCACTGGCTTGAGCAGGTAGGAGGACAGGTCCATCTTGTCCCCCAGCTCGGCCTGCTTTCGCCTGAAGAAGGAGTGGCCGTGGTGGGCCAGCAGCGCGTCCGACTTGGGCTTGTTCTTGCTGTAGAGCGCGTAGAGGCCGAACTGCTCCTGGTGCCGCAGGAAGCAGTGGGGCACTCTGAGCGGGTGTCTCCAGCAGGCCTCCAGCTCCTTCAGGAAAAACTGGTGATGGAAGTCCAGCAGCTTCTCCAGATTCCCGAACACCACAGAGCGCTTGCCCCGCAGGTCTTGGGGCACGTCGGCGCGCTCCATCTCCGGGAAGTAGTGGTGGATGATGTACCGCAGTGAGCGCACGTACTCGCGCTCCGTGGTCACCATCTCCTCCACAATGTGACGCAGTTTACTACAGGCACAAAAGGGAGAAGAGGCTCAAAACAGGCTCTGGGGGAGAGGGGGTCTTATATTGGGTTAGACTTACATTACATCATTAATACATTATTATTTGAATGGCAGAGACAGAAAGAGACACACACACACACACACACACACACACACACACACACACAAATACAGAGAGACAGAGAGAGACACACACACAGAGAGACAGATACACACACACACACAGAGAGACACACACACAGAGAGACAGAGACACACACACACACACAGAGGCAGAGAGAGACACACACACACAGAGGCAGAGAGAGAGACACACACACACAGGCAGAGAGAAACACACACACACAGAGAGACACACACACAGAGAAACAGAGAGAGACTCACACACACACACACAGAGAGAGAGGCACACAGAGACAGAGAGGCACACACACACACACAGGCGCACACACACAGAGAAACACACACAGAGACAGAGGCACACACACACACACAAACAGAGACAGAGAGGCACACACACACAGATACAGACAGACACACACAGAGACAGACAGAGACAGACAGAGACAAAGAGGCACACACACGCACACACAGAGACAGAGAGGTACACACACACAGATACAGAGACACACAGAGACAGAGAGGCACACACACGCACACACAGACAGAGAGGTACACACACACACACACACACACAGAGACACACACACACAGAGACAGAGAGGCACACACACGCACACACAGACAGAGAGGTACACACACACACACACACACAGATACAGAGAGACACACAGAAACAGAGAGGCACACACACGCACACACAGACAGAGAGGTACACACACAGATACAGAGAGACACACAGAGACAGAGAGGCACACACACACACACATACAGAGAGGTACACACACAGAGAGAGAGACACACAGAGAGACAGAGGCGCACACACACAGATACAGAGAGAGACACACACACACCTTCCTCTGGGCCGCTGCTCCACACTGCTCACACTGCTCACACTGTTGATGCTCTGTGAGCTAGGGCTGCGTGTGGCCGGTCCTCCCCAGCTCTGAGCTCCCGTCCTGGGGCAGAGCGTGCGGTCGGCGGCCTCTGTGCTTGACACCTCCAGACCCTTTATGAAAACCCCCGTGTTCCCCCGCCGAGCCGGCTCGCTCAGGGTCCTGACAGAAGGGAGGTCAAAGGTCATCCAGTCAGATATTATTGTCCCCGGAGGGAAATTTACCTGAAGCCCCGTTACCACCAGCCCTACTGCTCTTACTACTCCCACTACTACCACCACCAACAGCAGTACTACTGCTACTACAACTACTACTACTGTTGCACATTTCTTCACTTTCTTGTTGTGTGCCTTCTGTCTGCTTTATTTTCCCAATTATTTTTCTCTGGTCAGTCCCTCGCTCTCTGGTCACTCTCTCTTTCTCTCTCTGGTCTCCCTCTCTCTCTCTCTCTCTCTGCCCCCCCTCTCTCCCTCTCTCTGGTCCACCACCATCACCACCAGTACCACTCTACCTGGGACTGGCTCCGTAGCGCGATGCCTCCGGAGTGGGCGGGCAGTCAAAACTCTGGGTCTTCCTCAGCTGCTGCCGTCTGCCGAGCTGGGAGAAGGGGGAGGCGAAGGAGGAGGAGGAGGAGGAGCAGACAGACGGCGAAGTCACGCTGGAGCTGAAACTGGCCGACGAGTCCAGGCGCTGGAGGCTCGGAGCGGGCGAAGGCGGGACTTCAAACAAATCTCTGGTCTCGTCAAACGGGTTTCTGAAGAGTCTTTGCAGCAGCGGAGTGTGTTGCGGCGTGGAGGTGACCGGAGTGACACTAGTGTTTCGCGGTGGTGAGGGAGTAGAGGAGCAGGTGCTAACCGCGTCCTCGTTTTGGTTCGGGGACATCTGAGGCAGGTCTTTCGTGCCCCAAAGCCCGGACAGGGACTTTCTGGAAAAACTAGGCACGCTTCTGCTTTGCTCGCAGTCAGATCTGCGTCTCTGAGCAGAGTCTCGAGTCCGTAGAGCCGCCTCCATTTTGCGGTCAAACATTTTTTTAGTCTCCTGGCATTTGGCCCAGGCGAAACTCCACTGTCGGAGGCCACGCTCCCCCCGCAGCTCCCCCGCCAGCGTGCGCATCTCCTGGAAGTGCGCCTCGGCGATGGGAGGGTGCAGACGGTTGTATTCCTCCAGGCAGCCGATCACCGCGGGGCATTTCTCTGGCAGAGAGCAGTCCTCCATACTGACGCTGGCTAAGTGACGCATTCCGGCCAGGGCCCAGCCGTAGGCCTGCGGAGGAGAGGGGGACACGAGTGAGACAAATTGGAACAGGGCATTTAAAATGTTACATTCACAAATACTAGAAAGCATGTAATCCATTAGACCAAAGTATGGCTGAAAAAGGTTCATTGATTAATCACAGCCTTTAATAATGCATTGGTATTATAGAACGCAATTTTGGATACTACTACTGCTACTGTTACTACTGCTACTGCTTCTCTTACTGCTACATGGCTGGTTTTGCTAAGTGACGCCACATAAGTTGACTGTTATGCTATAATCAGATATACTGTACAATTTTGTATATAGTGTTGTAAACACCTGAAAAAACAGAGTGAGACCAGAGAGCGAGAGAGACCAGAGAGAATGACCATAGAAACACCATAGACCAGACACTTTAAATATAAGGTGACCATCATGTTATACTAGGAGTTATATGATGATGTTGGAGTATACACGTGCTGCAAGAGAAGCCCACTGTCAAAGGCTGCGAAAGATGAGCCGCGTTATAGCGAGGGACCACTGCAATCAGAGATGGTATGTGTTTAAGTTGGCTGAATGCATTTCCTCTACGTCTATATGAACAAAGACACCACTGACCATAACGGAACCATTCCACTCGTGGCGACGCAAATGACAACATGACCTCAGTAGTTGGGACACTGCCAACACTGGGCTCTGTGTGTTTAGTGATAAAGAACGCCAACATCATAATTACTGCAAAGTTAATCATAAAACAGCGGTGGTTTTGCAGAGATAAAAGTGTGTGGAGTCTCAGTGTGAGACTTGCCACCTGTGCACACAAAAAGCCAACACTGGAAAATCCCAGAGAGCAGTGGACCCTCCCATTGAAAAGATACATCTTTGGACTGCTCCCAAAACATACTAGGCTTCCATACTGTACGTCTTTGAGAAAGTTCTCGTCATTGGGGGAACTACTTTAAATAGTATAATGTGTTTAAGTCAGGGGTGTTCATCTGCGGAACAGCCTGGATTATTTAAAAGTCATTATTTTTGCCATTGAATATGATACTGGGGCCAAGGACACGCTGGAGGCACTGTGTCTCTCAGCTGGCCTGGGAACGCCTTGGCATTCCCCGGATGAGCTGGAGAAGGGACAAACACTATCAGTTAGAATAGTTTAGTACCAGCACATCCTGAGCAGAACCAGGGTCAAAAGGGACTAAAGAAGGAGCATCTGACCTGTGTATTATTTTTATCTATGTTTTAAATGTGAAGCGCTTTGTGATCCTGGTCTGTGAAAGGCGCTATACCACTAAACTTTACTTACTTACTTGGTACCAGTTAACACACAGCTGGTGGAAACAACATCTGCGGCAACATTTATTTTAATACAAAATACGAACCCAACACGTCATAATAACTTGTCAATTCAAAAATAGAAATAATTGATAAGAATCCAATCCTTAAACTGTGACTTAGTTTGGGTTCAGTCTAAAAACTCCAAAAAAAGTTCCAAACTAGCAACAAAGCTAGATTTCCATCTCTTTGAAATGCATGATAGTGATACTTTTGTGTTACAGAGTAGCTTTAGGATGTGAAGAGAATACTTGAAATGAAACATAAACGTAAACAAACCAATGGCCCTCTGACAGACTACTGTGGCTGACGGACGCAGTGAAAAGAATAAATTATTGGCGAAACGTAAACTTCCAGAGGGTTTTGTGAGGGTGAAGCCTGGATAATTGCCGGGCATCTCTTTTGTGAAGCCGGAGGGAGACAGCGGCGCGGTGGGAGCATGACATCACCCACGAAGTCCGTCTGAAGCCGCTTTGAAGTTAGTGTGGAGCCACAAAAGAGGCGTCCGCGTAGTGAGGCTTTGTTCGGGTCAAGGGGGAGGGAGGAGGCATGGGGGGGGGGCCTGCTGCTGCTGCCGACCTGGAGAGCCGGGATGTTTGGTTTGACAGCATTTTCAACAGTTCAGGAAGATTCATCTTGTCTTCTTAGTAGAATTAAGAAGACAAGATGGTATAGAAGAACCAATACTTTTAATTTAGCATTTTCAACAGACTGGACATTGGGAAAGGGCCAGGCTGAATACTTACTAAAAAGGACTAATTTTTTTGAGAACATGCTGGATATTCAGGAGAAAATATACTTAAAAAGTTCAACAATCAGCCGCTTACTCAGAGCAGAGTGAATGATGAGATGTCTTTTCATTCATTTCATTAATTCCTGTAAACATGAGTCAATATTCTAATCTACTTTTGGCAGGTCAATTTTTAGAAGTCTTCTGAGCCAAATTGGACCAGTACAAAAATACAATAATAGGATTTTCTATCTCATAAACAAGCAGAAGAACCATATTATGCAAATCAACTTTTGAGTTTTTGTATGATGTTGCAAGATTGTTCTTCATTAGTGTTTTAAATCCATCCATCCCAATATCAGGAACTTCTGGCACAAACATGTAGCTCCGCCCCTTTTGTCGAAAAGTTCCTCTATCAGTCCTGTAACAGAATGTCATTGAACCAATGTGACATCACACACAGAGCAGTTTCCTGCCTTTAAAACAAAGTACAAAGACCCGAGAGTCAGACCAAAGAGAGACCAGAGAGAGAGACCAAAGATACACCAGAGAGAGAGACCAGAGAGAGAGACCAGAGAGACCAGAGAGAGAGACCAAAGATACACCAGAGAGAGAGACCAGAGAGAGAGACCAAAGATACACCAGAGAGAGACCAGAGAGAGACCAGAGAGAGAGACCAAAGATACACCAGAGAGAGACCAGAAAGAGATCAGAGAGAGAGACCAAAGCGACACCAGATAGAGAGAGGCCTGAGAGAGAGACCAGAGATACTAGAAAGAGACTAGAGACGGACCAGAGAGAGAGAGACCACTATGACATCACAGTCATAGTGGTCTCTCTCTCTCTGGTCCGTCTCTAGTCTCTTTCTAGAGACGGACCAGAGAGAGAGAGACCACTATGACATCACAGTCAGAGCAGTTTCCTGCCCTTTAAAAAAAGCAAATTGTTGTTAGTAAATCCACAACTTCCTAAAGTCCTTAAAGACGACTGCTGTTGTGATTTAGGACGATACACAAATACATTGAATTAAACTGAAAAATCTTTGATCTTGTTATAAAAATATATTCCTCCTCCCACATTGACCCCATAACGCCCAGAAGGAGCTGCGTCTATACAGCAGTCCTCCCTGGGATAGTTAAACATGTCTGTGTGTGTGTTTGGGTGGCAGTGAATGAAAGCCAAGAGGCCCCCTCTGCTTTATACACTGTGCTGATGGACTGACAGCTTACACATGACCTCAGCCTGTATCCAGCCACGGGATGGTCCCAGGCGGACGCATAGCAACCAGCGAACGCCTCACGTGAGAGACCAACAAGATCAACTCTTTTAAAACATGTATGTTCATAAATTACGGATGATTTTTGTGCTTTTTACAGTGAGTGAACTTTTATTATTATTATTTATTTAAATAATGTATATGATTAAATTTTTATAAAAGTTCATATTTACAATTGCCTACATCCTCAGTCCGGGATCTACAGCCCGGAGTCCTGGGTCTACAGCCCGGAGTCCTGGGTCTACAGCCCGGAGTCCTGGGTCTACTACAGCCTCAGTCCTGGGTCTACAGCCCGGAGTCCTGCACAGCTTCAGTCCTGGGTCTACAGCCTGTCCTTCAATGGGAGCAGATCCCCCTCTCAAAGTGGGCCTTCAAAAAGTCTCTCACTTTTTTTCCCACTGTTTGTTTGTTGGTTAATTTTTGAAGTTTCACCCAAGTGAACTTTTTAACGTAATATAAAGGTTTAATGACAAACAAAAACCATTTAGATGAATCCAAGCTAAAAGCAAGACAATTGGATTGTGGATGTATTTGTACCCTCCTTCATGACTTGAAGAGCACTGACTACAGGTTACGGTGTGCTTGTACTTACAGGACTGATCTTGAGAAGTATGCAGGCCATACGTGACTCACAAAACACACTTCACGTGAGGTGTTTAGGGCAAACCCGGGGCACCTGCTGCTTATCCCAGACATGCTCCACATGTTTATGAAATGTTTATGCAGATTTCCTGTGAGTTATTCCAGTTTGGAATTCAACCAATGCCGAGGCTCCTGCCACAAGGCCAAACTTTACAATGTATTTTGTGAGAAACTGTCTCCAGCTTGTTGAAGAACCAACATAGCCACAATAGGTCTAAAACAGGACTACTCCAGCTCCAAACTAAGACCTAGATACTCCTCTGTATTTGACCCATCGCTCAAATGAATCAACAGGCAACATATCAGGAGCAGTGGGCACAATCAAAAGTCCATAAATACTCCGAACTTCTGACCGGATTAATAGGTTCAAGAGAGAGAGACTGAAGGTGACAGAAAAGGCTGTATGTGTCTGGTGACCAAAGAAAAAAGAAATCAGCTGTTAGTAGTCTCCAAAAACCTCCAAGTCTGTACACAGGGTATTCTGGAAATGCATTTTAGATGATAAATATCTGCTGATGTTACTGGTATGATGTGGGTATTGATTTTTGTTGTTTCAATCAAAATCATTTTAATAAACCTTTTCAGTAACAGTACCACCTCTCAATACGTTTGTAAAATATGCTGGATTTATCTTTTTAGAAATGTTTGTATATCACAAAATGCAACTCAAACTAGACTCTTTGTGTTGGAACAAACAAAACAAGTATCACTCACAGACAATACTCCTCCCCCTCCGTCCACACCAGAAACGCTTCAGTCCAGTTTTGATACTCAACAATGACCTAATTTCTACAGTTAATAAAAGTGGCATTCAGTGAAACATGTCAGGGACTCCACACTGTCCCCCAGTGTGAGCCTCACGGGGGGATCCCACACAAAGGCCATCGATTCACTTAAGGCACAGATTGTAAAAGAAAAAGAGACAAAATCAATACTAGGCGTTAGGAAAGCTCTACATTCCCAGCTGGACAGATCACCTCCTCTTTCCATCATAAATGACCTACATGTGAGCGGTCCAAACACACTATTCTGACTGAACAG